GGGTGGAGAAAATTTTGTCATTCCATATTAAATAAAAATGAGTTAAGAATTATTACATAGTTTGAGAAATATAGAAAGTAATTAAACCGGTGATGGAAATTGTATGAATTTATAGTACCAAAATAAAAATAAAAATAAAAATTCCAATCCAGAAAATTCTGAAATAGTAAAAAACGTGGAGGTGTAGTCAATTGCTGAGAAGGGGCGTGGGCGGGGAGCGGTGGCCCTACGGTGCTTGACACATGAAAGTCCAGTACAGAGGTAGCATGTCGTTGTCTTGTCTTTGGTCTCGTGTGGCGTGTGAAGACACGCTGCTCTTTTAAAAAGAGTGAGCGCGTCCAACTTTTCCTCCTTTTGGACTGTGTTTGTGCTGTTTCCTAAAGCTCCTCTGCTTCTCTTTCAAACCTTATTTTTTCCAAGTTGGCTTCCAAACGAATCTCTTTGAAGACACGAGGACACTTTCATGTCATTCTGTACTAACTCTGTCACCTTAGGAGAACCCAATTTTTTTTTTTAAAGAAAATCTTTTAATTGCTGGGTAAAGCCCTGCTCATAATTTTCCTTATTTTTTCTTTATATATATTCATGGTGATGAGTGGACAACCAACTAAATAAAAAAAAAGTATTCATAATTAAACAATTAATTCTATCATTAAAATAATATAAATAAGATGATCTTCCATATGAGTCCCAGTTTTTGGGATGTCTGGACTCTCAAGAAAAAAAAATAAAAGGCGTTAATTTAGATAGAAAATGATGTTTCAATTTTCACGATGGAAGGCACTTTGAACATAAAAGTATTTTTAGTTTCTGTAAAGCCAGAATTTTTTATGAATTACTTTATAAAAGTCCCTTATCACATAATCATAAACATTTATTTCCACGATTCCACATTGTTTCTTTTCTTTAAGATACAACTGTATTATATTTACTACCTTTTTTTTTTTCTTTTTTTTGAATGATGAAAGATATTCTGGTACATTTCAATTAATTTTTAAAAATTTTTGAATTATTAATTAAATAAAAATTTTAATAATTATTTTTATTAATAATGATCCAAATTTAAAATCTTTTAAATAATACACCCTACAATCATTATGAAATCCTGACAACATCACCTTTACAACTACGCGAAATTTCTCATTTCAGTTCCAACCTCACAATCAATTAATCAAACACAGACCGATTCGACGCCAAAACCTTGGTGGCTAGACATCCCCAAGACTGCTGGTGCTCAAGCTGGGGGAGATCTTACACCACCAGAATTGACCACCGCAACTACACGTGATGCTTCGCCGCTTGGACCGGACCCAAACCTAGGCCTGGTGTTTCCAGGTCCACCTTGCCTACACCACCGTTTCCTGACGTTCCAGTGAAACCGCCCCAAAATCCATGCCACCACCCAAACCTCCAGATGAGGCGCCGCCTCCCTCTCCAGCAGATAAAGTGCCATCCCCACAGGTGCCGCCGCAACCACGTCCACCTGTGCCTCCTTATATTTAGTCTCCACATTTTGTTCATATCTTTTTCTAGAAATCTTGTATCGTGCAGTTTCTATAAGAATGTTTATTTTTCTCCTATATTACCTATGGCGATGCTTAAAATAAATTAGTTTATATAGTAAATCTTGGTAACCTTTCATTGAAGCTAGAAAACAATGGAGGTTTTTAATTGATCGTCAATGAAGAATACCAAATTTTTTCAGTTGTAAAACTTGTTAAAAAAAATAAAATAAAATAATCTCGTTATTTATAGAATATAATTTTGTTTTTCTATAGAAGTGATCATTTACCTGCAATGTTTAAGTTTTGAGTCCTGTGATAATGTTTGGCGAAATATTGTAGCTAATTGATTTTCATTTTAAATAGTTTCGAGTAAATTGAGTTTTCACATGTATAATAATTTGTAATCGCAACTATAAACCTAGTGTTTTAATAACCAATCTGAGGTGAAACCCAACAAAGTTGTCATGTTGACCGGTTTAATTGGTTTGATCGGCGGGTCATTGACCAGTTTAATCGGTTTGACTGACGGGTCAAACTGATTACATCAACGAGTCTAAAAGTTTAAAATTCAGTAAATACACCCATGAAACTTACACTTAAGTCCCTACAGGTTTGAAATCCAACAAACACACTCCAAATGCAATTGACGATTAATTGGTTGGTGGCAGTGACACCAAATGCAATCCCAATCATCATTTGAGTGATTCTCTAGTAAATTTGCCCAAGATTTGGCTAAAATCAAACCACCGCCGGCGTCGAAAACCCTTCCCATCAGCACGAAAATATTCCCCTCAGCCTCCTGACTAAAACCCATCTACCCTCTCCTGTTTAGGGGTGAGCAGTTTCGAGTATCCTACATTTTGCAAGGGAACCGCACAGTGCAGATTCCCAAAAAAAGGAATTGGAACCAGAACTTGTCGGTTTCGGTTCTTAAATTCAAGGAACTAGAACCCGAAATGTAGGTTCTGAATCTTTACCTGCGTACCCTGTAAGAAATCAATTACCCCCATATTACTTAAAAAAATGACAAAATACCTCAAAAGTTTACAAATACACCCCTAACAAATTAAGGAAACCTACATTTAGTAGTTTCCAACTTTTGATTACTCATTCATTTGTGTCAAATATGACTCATAAATCCTCTAATCTCTGGGCAACACTTAAATTCAATCAGTTCATCACAATTCACATAAAATTTCTCAATTAAAACCAAAACACAAGCAGGTTCCAATCCAGGTACCCGCTTCAGGTTCTTTTCCCAGGTTCTGATTTCGGAACTTGTAGGAACCAGAACCGTACAGTGTCGGTTCCAATAAATGGAACTGAAACTTACCCGTATAATGTTGGTTCCGGTTTCGGTTCTACCCACTACTCGTGCTCACCCCTACTCTTTTTCACTCTCGTGACACTTTTGCATTTCTCGGCTGTTTCACTCACCAAAAATCACCTCCATCGCCATCTTTCAACTCACCACACTTCCTTTTGAAAACCCCCAAAATCCTGGCCACCTTCTACTGGCAGATTGCAAATTGTAAATCTAGGGTTTAGATGAATTGTGAAATTGGATTCTCGGCCCTATGAAGGCTCTAGGTCTTGCAAATTGCAAATCTAGGGTTTAGGTGAATTGTGAAATTGGATATCCGACCCTACGAAGGCTCCGAGTCTCTGTTAAATCGGTTAACCCGACAGGGCCGTATAAACCTATATTTGGAGAGAACTTTCGACTTCGATCAAGCTCCTAATTTTGCCCATATACATCAGAAAACGAATCTGGAATATATATATGTTAGTGAAATTGAAATACATAGAGAACAAAATTGGAAGAAGTTTTAACCTGCGACTTACCGCATAACATTTTATGTAGTTCCATACTTCCATTTAGTATGTAGCATAAGTATATGAAGTTTTTCTTTTGTTTGACCGAGTTTTAAACAAGAAACAAAACAGAAACAGTGGGTATTCTGCATGCTAGGCGTACACTTGTCATCTCAGTGACACCTGGTCCTACGTGTCATCCTTCCACGATATAATCATTCAAGTACGTGGTTTATTTCTAGGTTGATTTGCTCATCGTTCCCGAAGAGAAAAATGTCCAACACTACTGTCTCTGCAATCTCATCAAACCTCATGAGAAAAGCGATCCCGTTGTGTCCATCCACACCTAAAACTCCATTAATTCTCGCACTTTCTTCTGCCGCAATGCCGCATAAGTACGGGATCACCACTAGACGTCTCGGAAACGCAAGAAACAAACTGCGTCTTTCGGTTGCCAATGTTGCCGCCTCCGCTACACCAGAGTTTCTGGGAAAAACCCCAGCAGAATTCCCTTCTAAAGATCCGGACTATCAACCGAGTCCTTTTCCATCTGAAATTCCCAGGATTCCAGATACAGAGATAGATCCTATTCCACCAGAAATCACTACTATCCCTGGCCCAGATTACCCCGTTCCGCCCTCACCTTCACCACATACGCCTCCTGATAATCCTTTACCTCCGCCAGGCACGCCCCGACCACCACCACCGGATAAACTTCCACCTGACCCACCTCCGGATATCATCCCACCGCCTTTTACTCCGCCGAATATTGATCCGCCACCGACTATGCCACCGGATATTCTGCCACCTGGGGGAACCTTCGGTCCAGCTGTTTTATAGGGAGTGAAAGGTGGTTTAAAAATAACGCCTCATGTTCACTATTTGGCACTTGGCAGACTGGCAGTATCGTGGCGTAGTGGAGTTTTTGAGCAGGAGTTTTTACATTTTTAGTACTTTTTTTCTTGAATCTCCAGACCCCAGTGCTCCTCGTGAGTTGTAAATATTGGTATTAAGATACTGAAATAATCAGTTTCTGATTGAATGCTTCATGTTTAGGTAGATTTGGGTAATTGCAGGGCCGTATAAACGCATAAAGCTCAACCTCATTCGTCTCTTATTATTGGGCCTCATCTAATCGAAATTGCCCCAAATCTAGTGTAACTATATTTCGTTTAATTTTGCTGAGTTGCTGTGCTGATCCCAGCCTAAGGATCAAAACGAATGTCCATAGAACTCGGGATGCCAACTGCCAAGTTTCAACATTTGTTTATCTTAAAAAAAAAAAAAAAAAAAAATAGAACATGGATAGACGAGTCAATGTAAGCTTCAACAAAATAATGAAAGGTAAAGAATGTAGAGAATTTAAAATTGTATGTTCAATTTTTGGTTTGTGTGATGTGGGATTTGAAATTAGGACGTGTATGATTTAATTTCGGGAAAATTGTTCAAAAATTTAACTCTGGTTTACTCTCTTT